ATTCTGGATGATGTTTTGGCAGCAGGCCCCGAGTTTGGGTTGGGATTGGGAGAGAGGACTGGGAAAGCAGGAGGTGTTTCCAGGGGTTTCACTGGGTGGTTGCTCCAAGCAGAGATCCCAAAGCATCCATGTCATGGGTGTGTGGGAATAGTCCCTGCTCCTGGAGCTGTTCTTATCCTGGAGAGTTTAATCCAGGCAAGATCTGGGAATTCTGGATGATGTTTTACCAGCAGGCCCCAAGTTTGGGTTGGGATTGGGAGAGGGAAAATGGGAAAGCAGGAGGTGTTTTCCAGTGGTGTCACTGGATGGGTGTTCCAATCAGAGATCCCAAAGCATCCGTGTCATGGGGGTGTGGGAACACAGTCCCTGCTCCTGGAGCTGTTCTCATCCTGGAGAGTTTAATCCACACAAGGCCTGGGAATTCTGGAGGTGTTTCCAGCTGTTCCACAAATAGACCCCGAGTTTGGGTTGGGATTGGGAGAGAGGACTGGGAAAGCAGGAGGGGTTTTCCAGGGGTTTCACTGGATGGTTGTTCCAAGCAGAGATCCCAAAGCATCCGTGTCATGGGGGTGTGGGAACACAGTCCCTGCTCCTGGAGCTGTTCTCATCCTGGTTATTTTAATGCAGGCAAGATCTGGGAATTCTGGATGATGTTTTGCCAGCAGATCCCAAGGTTGAGTTGGGACTGGGAGAGGGGAAATGGGAAAGCAGGAGGTGTTTCCAGGGGTTTCACTGGATGGTTGTTCCAAGGAGACATCTCAGAGCATCCATGTCATGGGTGTGTGGGAACCCCATCCCTGCTCCTGGAGCTGCTTTAATCCTGGAGAATTTAATCCACACAAGAACTGGGAATTGTGGAGGTGTTTCCAGCTGTTTTGGAAGTGAACCCAAGTTTGAGTTGGGATTGGGAGAGGGAAACTGGGAAAGCAGAAGGTGTTTTCCAGGGGTTTCCCTGGAAAGTTCCAGCAGACACCTCAGAGCATCCATGTCATGGATGTGTGGGAGCACAATCCCTGCTCCTGGAGCTGTTCTCATCCTGGAGAGTTTAATCCAGGCAAGATCTGGGAATTCTGGATGATGTTTTGCCAGCAGATCCCAAGGTTGGGTTGGGATTGGGAGAGGAAAACTGAGAAAGCAGGAGGGGTTTTCCAGGGGTTTCACTGCAGGGTTGCTCCAAGCAGAGATCCCAGAGCATCCGTGTCATGGGGGTGTGGGAACACAATCCCTGCTCCTGGAGTTGTTCTCATCCTGGAGAGTTTAATCCAGGCAAGATCTGGGAATTCTGGAGGATGTTTTGCCAGCAGATCCCGAGGTTGGGTTGGGATTGGGAGAGGAAAACTGGGAAAGGAGGAGGGGTTTTCCAGGGGTTTCACTGGATGGTTGTTCCAAGGAGACATCTCAGAGCATCCATGTCATGGGTGTGTGGGAACACAGTCTCTGCTCCTGGAGCTGTTCTTATCCTGGAGAGTTTAATCCAGGCAAGATCTGGGAATTCTGGAGGATGTTTTGCCAGCAGATCCCGAGGTTGGGTTGGGATTGGGAGAGGAAAACTGGGAAAGGAGGAGGGGTTTTCCAGGGGTTTTACTGGGTGGATGCTCCAAGGAGACACCTCAGAGCATCCATGTCATGGGTGTGTGGGAA